TTGAATGTCTTATGAACTGTAATTGTCATGTCTTCTTTCTAAACACATTACTTTACTTTTTGTTTGTCTCGCAGCTGTTAGTGAATGTTACATACGACTGTGGTTTGTCATGTCCAGTAATATGGGAGAAGACAATATCTCTACCCATATGGAGACTCTTAAAGAGGATTCAGATACTTCTGGAGAAATGAAATTGATGGATATAGGATCAAATGACTCTTCTGTTGAGCATATGTCAGTTTCAGACATGAAACAAGAGTCCATGCCTTCTACAAGTACCAACCTCGACATGCGGAAAGTGGAAACATCTGTTTCTGGTCCTATGTCATTCAATTTTGAGCCAGAGGCCATCTCTATGCAATCCTCTGTTTTGGCTGATTCTCAGTCTTTGATGCCAACTGAGGAATCCTCTGTTTTGGCTGATTCTCAGTCTTTGATGCCTCTGTTGCAACCGCTTGTTGCACATCGATATTCTTTAGAAAGGTCTGGAGCTGCATGTAGTAGGCCAAGGTCATCGCATCTGGCGGGGAAGCGGAAAACACCACCGGAATCTACTCTCAGTGGTTCTGCATCCGAGAAATTAGATGTACCAAACAAGCGAGTTGAACCGGTGCATCACAGACCATGGCTACAACAATTTTCTGCAAGTTTTGAGCCGTCTTCTTCTCTTTCTCCGAAGATGGAACATCAACCAGTGAAGAAAGTGAGGCAAATGGAACCTGCTTCCCAAAAATCTGGGAAACAGGCGATGACCAAGAAACAAGGGCCAACAAAAACACAGAATGAAGGGGACGAGTCTTTGAGATCTAAAATGAAGGAATCATTAGCAGCTGCCTTGGCTTTGGTTCAGGAGCATGAGGAATCTCCGAAAGAGAAAAAGAATCCAGAAACTGAAGAAGCAAGTGTTCCAGTAGCTGAAAGTAATAAGCCTGCCTCAGCATGTGATATCAGTATTCCAGTAGCTGAAGGCATAAGGCCGGCCAGGGATGAAACTTCTGGGCGGAAGGACGACAATGGAAGAATTTTGTTGCAAGAGACTTCCAATGACACAAAGATGAATTATGTTAATCAATCTGATGTACAGAAAAGTCAATTTGACGAGGTTTTCCCCTGTCATGATGTTCGTTTTAGCGATAGTATTTTTTCCAGCGATGAACTTTTACAGGGTAATGGCCTCTCATGGGTTTTGGAACCTGTTTCAGATCTTGCGGAGAATGAAACTGGTGGAGAAAAATCATTTGAGGATCCAAACCTCTTGGCATCTAAAATTGAGTTGGAACTGTATAAGCTATTTGGAGGTGTGAACAAGAAGTACAAAGAGAAGGGAAGGTCTCTCTTATTCAATTTGAAGGATAAGAACAATCCTGAGCTAAGAGAAAGTGTCATGTCCGGTAAAATCTCTCCAGAGAGATTGTGTTCTATGACGGCTGAGGAACTTGCTTCTAAAGAGCTTTCTCAGTGGCGACAAGCAAAAGCAGAAGAGATGGCTGAGATGGTTGTCCTGCGGGATGCAGACATTGATGTCAGAAGTCTGGTGAGGAAAACACATAAAGGTGAGTTTCAGGTAGAAATTGATCCTGTGGACAGTGGGACGGTTGATGTCTCTGCTGGGATTACCTCACGTAATAAACCTCGAGCCAAAGCCAAATCCATGAAATCATCTAATCCTGTGAAATCCACTGCAATGAACAATGACTCAAATGATAAGAACTCAAAATCTGACTGCGCTATGACTCTGCCCTCAACCGAGGAGACTGATCCAATGCAAGGTCTGTCGATGGATGATGAGATGAAGGATGTGGGATTTCTTCCTCCAATTGTATCGCTTGATGAGTTCATGGAGTCCCTGAACTCAGAACCTCCCTTTGGAAGCCCACAACATGGGAGTGCTGTAAAGGCGGAAGCGACAGCATCTGAGAAAAGTGACTCAGAAGTTGGATCACATTCTAAATCTCCTTCAAAGTCTCCTAAGCAGTCTCCAAAGGAACCCTGTGAGAGTGTTTCTCCTAAATCAGAACTCGAAAAGACTAATAATGCAACTTCCCCAAAACCAGATGCTGGTGTCAAACTCGATGGTGATGTCTTCAAGCCGGAAAAAACACCTTTGGTTGATAGCATTAAAGAGGACCGAATATGGGACGGTATACTGCAGCTTAGTGTCTCTTCAGTTGTCTCAGTCACTGGAATTTACAAGAGGCAAGTTTCCTAAGTTACCTTAACTTTTATCTCTTGCTATCCTAAATAATTTTACTCTTATTTGGTATTTGAAAATTATGGTAAATATATCTTGGAACACAGTAAAATCAAACCCATGATTGAATTTGGATACTAGTACTAGTACCAATAATTTGATTGAATCTATGTTTAGACTCAAACTAGGGCATATGTAGGCTTAAATCACAATAATGCTTGTTTGATTTGTTGAACAAAAGATGTAATGAGAAAAACATCCGAGTCATATTTTTCTTAGGTATCATTATATTGAACACTCTCTCTGACTAGATTTGCTCGTGCAGTGGTGAGAAAGCAAAGACAAGCGAATGGCCTACGCTGGTGGAGGTAAAGGGTAGAGTGAGACTCAGTGCGTTTGGGAAGTTTGTTAAAGAGCTTCCGTTGTCTCGAAGCCGTGTCTTAATGGTATACAAAGTTTACTACTT